ATATATATATATATATATATATATATATATATATACACACATATACATACATATATGTAAATATATGTGTGTATATATATATATACATATATGTAAATATATGTGTGTGTATATATATATATTTGGCAAGATACAATTTATCAGGCAACATCGCTTCTATTAGGTCTTCTTTCCCTTGATCTTCACTCTCTCTGGGTACCACACTCAACTGTAAACTTTTTAAAAATTTAAAATTCTAAGTATGCATGCAGTCTGTAAAAATTCCAACTCAGTACAGCTAATTTCATTACTTGTTTCTGTTTATATTGCCTTACTATTTTTCCTATCTTCTTGTTATTAATAACAAGACATATGTTTCTTTTAATTTAGAAATATGATTCTCTTACTTGCTTAGAAATAAAATTCAATGAGTGATTAATGTGCACCATGGTTCAGAAAGAAAACAAATGCTAATCTCCATATATTAACTCTACACTTAATGGCTTGCAACATTTTATCTAAAACATTCGTTTTATTTTCCTATTCCTAAAGACAGTTTTTGCTATTGGTGGCATCTCTGTGAATGCAGAGCTAGCTCTAATTTCAAACTGCCAAAGCAACAAAAGATATAATATATTGGGACTTTATAAGCTATGAAACATAAATATGGGGGGGGAATGCATAGCTTATGTAGATTGCAGCTGAGTTAATGTGAATTCACACTAAAATTGTCAATCAACTATACATCTCTCACCAAATCATTCTTTTTAGTCGTGTATAATTTGTAAGGCCTCTAGCTACTACAATGCCTTGTGTTCAATATGTTTGCATCCCTCTGTAACTGATGATCACAGTATTTTTAGACAAGTTTCCTAAATCTGTGATAAAAGTTAATTTATTTCCTAAAAGACTACAAATGGTGTCTTGTATGTTGAAATAAACGAATGATACACCATCCTGCTTGGAAATTAAACACCTAAAACATCTGCGGTGATTTAGCATACTGCCAAAGTGTAATTTGTTTAATGTAACAGTTTAGGTTTCAATTGAGCTATATTTATTAAAATCTGGGCACAGTAATATGTTTCTGTTTTTTCTACTTTTAGTAAATGCCAAAATTACAAACTCCAAAATAGATGGTGAAGTACAATTTCAGTGATATCTGATTGGGCTAACATTTTCCTGAATTTAGCCTTGAGTTATTGCTTAGACTACAGTTGAATTGCAAGAATTCTCCTGCAAAGCATTATCAAGAGAAAAGTGTGATTTAATAATTTAATTATGGATAAAATCTAAGCATCAAACATGACTCAATCTAATAGAAAATATTAAATAAGGTAAAATTCAAAACAAAATTATAACCATCTGAAGATAAGGAATTGCATTTAATACCATTTTAATAATTTTACACTGCTTCCTATAATTTATTTCCTAATAGGAAAAAAGATGATGGCATTCACTGTGTGCTGGTAAATGTTTAACAACTGCCTTCCTAAGAATTAAAATTGCTAGTTTGTAGCATTTGCCAGTTTCTATGGTGTAAATACTCTCACTGTGGACAGTTTCAATCTACCAACAGGACATTTTTGAATCTGTAGTCAGGAGGAGACCCAAAGTAGCACATTACTGTATCCTGTTTTCACTGTAAAGATGCAGTAGACCTAAATAGACTCAAGAGTATTAATAAATAGTATAAGGTAGTAAAATAATTGGGAAGTAGTATGTTTTGATTATTACCTTTGTTTTTTGTAAAATGTATTCCATTGCATTTTATAATTTCATATTTAATAATGGTTGTGTTTAACAACTAGCTTACAGAATTTCTGATAATTTAATTATCAATGTTCATGAGTCAGAATAAGCAAGTTCCAGCCCACCAGTGGTATTGTGTCTCTTGGTACGCTATCAACGTTTACATAGGGAGAGGTTTGATTTGCTTGGGAAGAAAGGCGTTCCTTTATACAAATCAGTTTCTTTCCTTTTTCACCTCTTATTTAATGTAAAAATGCCATACATAGTTGAAGGAAAATAAGGAAGTATCCTCCATCCAAGGGCTTGCTTTTTAAGCCTTCAGAGATTTTCACAAGAGGGGTTAGTCTTATAAGGCCTGAAGGCTGGGTCCATGGAGCTCTTCCTGAAGGGGCAGTTTGTCATTTAGTACCATGTATCACCTGGATCAAATGGTTGCTCGACTCACTGAATTATGAGACTGACCAAACTCTGTTCAGGGCTTGTTTCGGCAGAGTGCAGACAAAACTCAAGGCAATATTTATAAGAGAAAAACAATGATATGAGATGTAAATGAATGGTTTCCTTGTCTTTAAATATGTTTTCCCTAGTGCTCAGTAAACAGCTAATCCAGAATTAATATCTACATTTAATATCAGAGGAGAATATATTATTTTTGAGCAAAAAAAGTTTGGAAATGTCATTTGCTCAGTTCATATTTTTGGCTCAATATGACCTGAAATAGGTTTGCTGGTGTATCTTTTAAGTGAAAATATAGACAGAATAGTATGACTGTGGCTGTGTTTGTTCAAGGGAGATTTAAACACTTTATTATTATTTTTTTTTAACATTTGCTCTTTGATTTAGCTTTAATAACTTCAGAAGTAGTGAAGTGGCTGTTCAAGTATTTGAACTCTCTCTCAGGAAAGGAGCAATATTGTTGTCTCTATAAAACACTTTTTGAATGCATCAGTACAGGCTTTCTATAAGGAAATGCAGATGACTATGCTAATAAATGAAAATTCATAAGCATTTGTTTTACAGTAAACTCTATCATTTGAGACTTCTATATTAGTATTTATTTTAAAAAATTCTTAAAATGTCTTTTAAAAATAGAAAACCCTACCATTGGCTTTCTAGTTAATGTTTTTCCATATTTGAGTCAAGTGTCTTCATTTTTGAAAAATACAAATAAAAATTATAAGAGTATTTACAGGATGATAAATTCCTTAAGGTTTCTAGGAACTCAGACTACCATTTGCTATGCTAAATGAGGCTTCACAGCTATTCAAGGAGGCCTCTGTCATCCCAGCCTCTTTATCTTAAATCCAATGGGGTAATGAAAATAACCACAAATCCTACTACTCAAAGGTTGTATTTAATCAGTAAAATAAAGAATGAGGTAAAAGAGGACATCAAGGTAATTTTGTCTATGAATAGATTCAAACTGTACAGCACATTTTCATTAAAAAGGCTGTAAGTAGTTTGGTACCAGCCTCAAGTGTAATACCCACAGGTAATTAGCTAAAATAAAAATTGATACTTTTAGTGTAAAAGGTCCCAAATGGTTATCTAAAATTTGTAATAATTTGAGAAACTTGACATGGGGCTAGAAATGTGTTTGGAATCCTTACTTCAACAAGAATCTTAGGCAAGGAGCTAATATTATCCATTGATCACAGCTAAGAGAGGGCTTAATAAGCCTCTGTTATTTTCAAGGGAGATTTATGCTTTGTATAGCATGCTCTTCTGATGAGAAAGGAACAAGAAAAAATTCTTAAAATTTGGAGAAAAAAAGTTTCATTCATTCAGAATTTTGTATTCTTAGCTTCAATTCCAGTGATAAATCCTAATTTCTTTTTAACTAACTAGCATTCTTTCTCAACTTTCATGCATATTTAGCAAAGCAATTCAGAGACAGAACAAGCCACAGACTAGGAGAGTAAGAAGGGATTGTCATTCTAATTCTGCAGTTATCTTGCTGGGTGATTGGGGGTGACTAATCTTACCTATTTTTGAATAATGGTATTATACAAGATGATATTTAAGGAAACTTCTACATTGGGATTTTGGAAAACTTAACAATGTTGTTATTTTACTAAGTAAGGGCAAGTTTGAAATTCAGGTATCAGAAAACAATTGTTTTAGTTGATCATTTGTTGTGGTTGCATATGTTTTAAAGGCTTGTTAACATACATGAACCTATGCCATACTGCATGCTTACACCAAGATTACTGCTAGCAAACATTTCAGAGATACTTCGACACTCACAACATAAAGTCAAAGTTCAGGCTGATGGGATTTGCCTTTTCTTTTTTTTTGTTTTGAGATGGAGTTTCACTCTTGTTGCCTAGGCTGGAGTGCAATGGGGCAATCTTGGCTCACCATAACCTCCACTTCCCAGGTTCAGGTGATTCTCCTGCCTCAGCCTCTCGAGTAGCATTACAGGCATGTGTCACCATGCCCGGCTAATTTTGTATTTTTAGTAGAGACCAGGTTTCTCCATGTTGGTCAGGCTGGTCTTGCAATCCTGACCTCAGGTGAACCGCCCACCTCACATTTTGGGTATCAACATGTTGTTCATTTTTATTTTCCTTACATTTTTAGATTATTGCAGTGTTTTGCCTATCATTCTATTAAATGTTCTATATTGCTACTTCCACAGCTAGATCACACAGCCCAAGTCAGAGTTCTGAAAAGATGCCATGGTTTTGAAAGGTCTATTGACTGCTTTACTCTATGCATATGCCTGTTCAAGAGTACAAGTCACATCCTGACTGGATGATAGAGATCACTGTGGAACACACCTACAAACTGCCTCAGTACTCTGGATCATAAGTTAACTCTACCTAATAATTATCAGTGGCTACATTTTTTTTAATCTCTTAGTATTGATTCTCAGGTTGACTGTGTTCTAAGAAGCTGCTGAGCAGTATCACAAAAAAATCTCTATTCCTTTTCCCCTCTCCTCCCTTCAGTTGGCCAGAGAGTGGTGCTCTCCGAAACACCTCTAGTCCTATTGAAATGATTCATGTTTTCTCAGAAACATTTAAATACCTATGAATGAAATTTACACGTTGTAAACTAATCTCAATCAGCTAGGCTCAACACATAGAAGGTTAGAACTAGAGATGACAGGACTGCATCGTGTAAGAAAGACTTTTAAAAATGGATTTCTTTCAGAGTAATAAGCTGATAATGAATTCAAGTGGTTTCTAGATTTTGGCCAACATCTGCGATCATCTTCCCCACCACAAATTCATGACAATAAGAACAAACAAAAAAGACCAAGGTGAAGATTATCCAACTGAAACGTATTTGTGTTCCTGTTTATTAACATGTTGGTAAACTTAGGTGTCAGCTTTTCCATAAGTCCCCTCTGGAGGTCTGTAGTACTTGGGGAAAGCCATCAGCTGTAGCATGTTGAAAGCATACTTTCTGCATTTGATATTCTTCAGTACATTCTCTATGCGGCATCCTTCTCTGGTGAAAGGGGAAAAAGTACAACTTCATGAAACACAGAATAAATAAATATGCTTTATTTGTTTAATGCAGAGTTGCAGCAACAGTCCAAGTAAAAATAACAAAGATTCAACTCTACATTTTTTTTCCACAAGTGATGATACATCTTACAAAATTAAATCCTAGGCCAGGCCCAATACCATTATTGCCCTCTGAAAGAGATGACTAAAGTCTCTTTACTCTTAACAGACATTTAAAGTTTAATAAACTCTTTAAATATAATTTGCCCCACAATACAGCTCCACTTTCATTTATTAAATATATCTGCCTTTTTATAACATTTCCACAAATTAATTTCTCAGTCTCTTTAAAACAGATTAAAATCTATATGTAGCCCTAAGGATGCAGGTTCTAGAAATAAGGCATTTAATTTATTAAGTCTGGCCCTATAGATTTTTAAAGAAAAGTTTCGTCTCTATTTTAATTTAATTATTTTAGCTGTGCAAGGAAGAGAGAAAATGGCTTTCCAAGCAGCCTGGGCCAGGTCTCAGCTTTATAAAGGAAGAGTGCTTGTCCATGGACAGCACGAAAGTCACAAGTGCTAGGAATGGTACATCAAGACACAAGTAAGACCTTGTTAAAAAGAATAGAAAAATTCTCTGAAAGCCAAATCAACCCAAACAAGAGATACAAACAGGTAATTTAATTACACAACATAAGTAGCCATTCTCTCCATAAAGTTACTTGACAGAAAAGAGTTAATTGCAGCAAAGAAGTAAAATAACAGGTTAAAAAACAAAAACAAAAACACAGAAGTTTCTATCAGCAGATGACATCTATGATATTAGCACAGTGGAAATAAAGTCTGCAACCTCCCATATCTCTCTAGAACTTGTTTCAGGGTTTCAGTGTCTGTGCAAATTCAGTCTTAATTTCTTTAATAAATTTAATGGGATGAGGACAGGAGGTTCAGAACTTCAAGCTTTCAGGATTCTGTTCTTTGTCTTATTCCAAAGACAGTCGTTTAAAAATTCTTCTTGAGCTAGTTAACAGTGGGAAACACTTTTCCATGAACAAAAGAGCAAAATAAACCACTTAATGCATAGTACTTTTTGCTTTTTAGATTTTAGGAAAAACAAAAACACAATTTAAACATTTTTTTTTAAATTCCATAAATCTGAAAATGTAAAAATATTACAGCATTGTCCCCATCATTTAAAGTTCATTGTCATTTGTAGAAAAGAAAAAGGGATACAACATAAAACCTATTGGTATTTGGCTAATAGTAACGCCAGACTTAAAATAAGCCACACAACTAGCAGGTGTGAGCTGACAAGCAGCAAGGCGACAGGATAGAAGTGTCGAGAAGTTGGCTTGTTATCAGTTAGACAGCCTGTTTCAGGGATCATCGGATTCACTCAGTGCTCCCTGGGTTTGTCTGCTGTTAAACAGGGGGAAGTTAGGGGAGAAAAGAAAATAGTACAGAGTTCACACAGTAAAAAAAAAAACTTCAACCTTAAATATTCTGAAATACAATCCATTATTTTACACAATACCATTGATTCAGATGAAATCTTATGGAAAATGCATCTTGTATATTCTCACCGTACTATGTGAGCAAAGGTATTGAAACAGGAGATTCCTTTTGCTCTTTGTGCAGGAAGGCAGAGAGAAACACTGATGATGTTCACATGGGTTGATTGTGTACAAGGAAGAACCAGTGAGTATAACAGCACCAAAGCAAGACTTTATGAATACAATGAAAATGTGGATTAGCTCATGAAAATAACCTTGAGAAAGATTACATCTTTAGATGTAATCTTTATAACTACATCTTTAGAAAATGAAATGAGCAATACAGGATGTAGTGAAGCAAACCGGTATGTCTGGTATATTTAAACACACCCTTGACTGGCATTGCACCTATATAATGTATTTAAAATTATAAAAATGATTTATTGAAATGACATGGTCTTTAAAATGAATGAGACATCTGACATGTTATCCTTGCCAGCCATAATAATAGTTTAATAAAATCCAACTCAGCACCCTTCTGTTCAGCTCATAAATTATATTGTTTCCTAATCATCTGCCTTAGATAGGGCCAGATCTATCTCCTGTGGCATCTGATCTGAAAAGAGATCCATATTTACAGAGTGATACCTCAGAAAATAAAATATTTAGTTTCTAGGCTATTTTCTATGTAAATAAAAAAGTTAGGGGTTAGTTTATAATTCTGCTTAAAAGAAATTCCATTTATGGCCAGTCTGAAATATACTACATTGATATAAATTGAAAATACAATTGTTTTCTAATGCTCTAGTTCATTAGTATCCAGTGTATTAAGAATTTCAGTCACATTCAGTGGTTAGGAGTGGTTTAATCTCTATTAGTTCTTCTATATTTTCAAGCAAAAAAACTCGTTGTGGCTCAGTCTTATAAAATGTGCCATGCAAAGGAAACTTCTAATGAAGCTCCTTAGCCATGGCTGATCTCCAGCCCTTTGCAATCCCTGAACACTTCCTATACAGAAATTTTTAACCAGGTATTGACCACACCAGTGTAAGCATTTAGACAAATATCAGTCATAATTATATTTCAAACAATAATCTGAATTAGTTTAAAATACCAAGTCAACCATGTTGTGCTATGCTCTGTTATATCCTTGTTGTTTGGTAGGACCAAAGGACTATGTAAATTGCCTGGAAAACAAATGGTTTATTGAACAAAAGGGGGTTTATTTTGGACTTGCATAATTCCTACTGTCAACTGTATGAGTAACTTGGTTACTGTTCAATTTTTTCCAGCACACCAGGTAAAAAATGTACGGTATTTTAGGCACTGATATTTTTTAATGTAACTAAGAAAAGTTCCCTTGTCTTATATTACTACTTCTGTTGGCTTGAAATCTCTAAATTGTGAATCCCAGAGAAATAGTTTATTCATTTTTTTCAGCCCAAAGTTTTTAGTGTCTACTATGAACCAATAGCTGCTGTAGGCACTGGGAATACAAGGTTGGATAAATCTGATAGATATTTCTACCTTCATAATGTGTACTTTTGAGTTGGAGGAGGGGGAGTAGAAAAACAAGAATAACATCTGACAAAAGCACCATGGAGAAAAGTAAAGCAGGAAAGGAGGGGTGGGTAGGTGTGTGTGTGTGTGTGAATTTTAAATAGGTTAGAGAAGTTCTCATGTGATCACAGATTGAAGATAGAACGGGAAGGAGTCATGTGGATGTTCAAATTAATTTTTGATTGAGCTAGTGCCTCACCTAGTAGCTTCCTGATAGAATGGGACTGGCAAGTTTAGGCTGGAGGACAAAGAGGCATGAAAGAATACTGGGAGGGTGTTTTCTGCTGGCTGGGTCTCAGTGGGAAAGCAGGGAGGTAGAGAAGGAAGTGACCTGAACTAGTGGATGGCAGACCAACTGGAGGAGAGCCGCTACAGTTACAGACCCCACTTCATTATAGAATCCAAACTGAGACAAGGACACTAAGACCCCAGAGGGCAGCAGTTTGAATTTCCCCTATAAGAACCCCCCAAGATGATCTTGGAAGGAAGGCACATAGATCTCAGAGGTGGTTCTAGATGACTAATTGGAACAGAGAAGAAAAGTATGATAACTTTAATATTGCCAATATGTATCTCATTCTTTTAAAATTAGTTTTTCATGTATTACAAAAAGTATATATTAGTAGAATAGCACATAAAGAAACACAGTAGATCAGAGCACAGACTCTGGAGTCAGACCACCTGTTTCAAGCTTGTTCCTGTCACTTGCTAGTTGAATGGCATTGAACATGTCATTCTGTATGTCATGTCTCTATTTCCTTATCTGCAAAGTGGTGATAATAATAATACCTACCTCACAGAACTGCTGTGAAGTAACTCATGTAAGTCAATACTTAAAGTTCTTGGAACAGGGAATGCCTATAGCAAGCATTCAATAATTTATTGTTATGTCATTTGTATATCAATAAATTGGCATATCTTGGAAGTGTACCTAGAAACGTTTTAACTAGTAGGCTCCCCCCTGCCTTTTATTGTTTTCACAAAGACTCCAGATTCTGTTTAATGCATGGTAAGTAAAAATATCACCAGGCCCTTGGGCACAGCAACAGGAGGAAAAAAAAAAAAAAAAGCTTAAAACATGTACTTTGCAGAGAGAAACTCTTATTCCCATAGAAAAGGAAAAGAAATTTGAACAACTGCTCATCTGAGGGCCATGTGGATCTCCAAGGAGACTTTGTAGCACATGTGCTTCCTGTAATCCAGGGGTAACTATTGTGAACCTGGCCAAGTCGGCAAAGAGGAAAACGTCAAATTTGACATGACAGGCTGGTCTGTAAAGTCGGTCCTGCCCATGTTTGTGTCTTTCCCAGCCATTGCCTTTATGGACAAGTCGGGCACATTCTCCCTCTGCTGTGCCAGCCACACCCCCATGGGCCAGTGGTCATTTCCAGCAGCAGAGGCAGAGGGCAAGGCAGGCTTGGAAGGAGCTGCTGTAGCGCGTGCTGTGACGGCACCTGCCAACGTGGGGAAAAAAGTAGCAAGCCAACGCCTGTTTGGGGTCAGTTCATGAGGGTCTGTAGGTCTCCTTCAGGGATCATTAGTGCTGAAAGGAGCCTCTAGAGGTCATTCTGTGCATTCGTCAACCTCCTTTGGATCACTTTCATACATGGGTTTTTTTCCAGGTCTGATAGATATTCAAGTAAGAGCATGCCTGCAGCTTCTTTTTTATCTCCTAAGTTTTCCAATTTTTTTTTTTTTTTTTTTTTTTTTTTTTGAGATAGGCTCTCTCTCTGTCACCCAGGTTGGAGTGCAGTGGCGTGATCATGGCCTACTGCAGCCTCTGTCTCCCTGAACTCAAGTGATCCTCCCACCTCAGCCTCCTGAGTAGCTGGGACTATGCCCAGCTATATATATATATTTTTTCCTAAGAGAGATGGGGTTTCACTATGTTGCCCAGGCTTGTTTTAAACTCCTAGGCTCAAGCAATCCTCCTGCCTCAGCCTCCC